CTACTAACGGGATTCAGTTGTGTTATCTTATACCCAGTATTAATGGAATTCAATTGTGTTATCTTACACACAGTATCTAGAACTTTAAACTGATCTTTCTTTTCTTGATTTTTTTTCAGAAATAAGGAATGAGGTTTAAAAATATAGAAAGTACTTTAAGAATTAATGAGAAGTGAAATTTAGCTTACATGCACATCATTTAGAAAGTGTGGTATACGTGCTATCTAAGTGTATTAAGTTAGCAACAGTAATTATATAGAAAGTACTTTAAGAATTAATGAGAAAAGTGTGGTATACGTGCTATCTAAGTGTATTAAGTTAGCAACAGTAATTTATACAATTTTACAAGGTGCTATTTCTGCTGAAGTTATTGTACAGAATGTAAAAGTTAACCTGAAATCAGAGGCTACCGACATCTGGCAAAGTTATAAGTTTGTGTTTATTGATGAATTTACATCAAGTAGGTTATGTTTTTCCATTTAGTAGAGAGGAACATTTACCTGTGATTTCACTACTTACCTAAACCAAGCCGAATAACTTACAGATCATCAACTGTTCATAACTCTGGTAGTTGCTTTACAACTTTATTTACTGTGTTATTATCTAAACTAACAATCTCACCTCACTTAACCTCCTCATACTACTAATAACAATTTGTTGGTGTTAATAACTACAATTATGTTATTAACCAATAACTATCAATTTTTTAAACAGCAAGATCTAATCACATTTTATGGTTGTTAACAAGCAAGAAATGTATTGCAGCTATTAACCAGTGAGAATTATCAATGTATTACAGCTATTAACCAGCGAGAATCACCAGTGTATTACAGCTATTAACCAGCGAGAATCACCAGTGTATTACAGCTATTAACCAGTGAGAATTACCAATGTATTACAGCTATTAACCAGCGAGAATCACCAGTGTATTACAGCTATTAACCAGTGAGAATTACCAATGTATTGCAGCTATTAACCAGTGAGAATTACCAATGTATTACAGCTATTAACTAGTGAGAATCACCAGTGTATTACAGCTATTAACCAGCGATAATCACCAGTGTATTACAGCTATTAACCAGCGAGAATCACCAGTGTATTACAGCTATTAACCAGCGAGAATTACCAGTGTATTACAGCTATTAACCAGCGAGAATTACCAGTGTATTACAGCTATTAACCAGCGAGAATTACCAGTGTATTACAGCTATTAACCAGCGAGAATTACCAGTGTATTACAGCTATTAACCAGCGAGAAT